GTGTACTACATGGGAGTCCAGCGACATAGCCATTACGCTAACTGCTGATCCCACTTTTTTTTAAAGCATTTAGGGAGGCTGGCAGGTGGCGTGGTGGTTAAGGGCGCTGGACTTCAACATGATCAGCTGCAGTTCGAGGACTGGACCTGGTGACTTGCTTTCTCATTTTTCCTCTCTCTCACTCTGACCTTCTCTAGTCAAATCAAAATAAATGAATAAATAAAGTTAAATAAAATAATTACTTAAAAGACAAAAGTATTTAGGCCCAGACTGTGGCTTAGTGGTTAAGAAAGCTGGATCCTGGGACCAGTAGTTGGCGTAACGGCTATCTTGTTGGACTCCCATGTAGTCAATCGCGGTTCGAGTCCCAGACCCGGTGGCTTAAACTCACGCTGGGCGCGTGTGCGTGCGTGCCCAAGATCCCGAGAGGAGAATGGAGGAGACGGGATTGTGGTGTGGCCATCCCCCCTGGGGGGTGATTTCTCACTTCCCCTCTCCGTCTCTCTCTGGTGAGCTCATGTGCCCTGTGGACAAAACAAACAAAATCTAAAACAAAGGAGATACGTCTGCCCATTTGCCTGTGCGGGTCACCGCGTGAGTTCCGGCCTCAGAGCCTGCCGTGCTCTCGGGCTGAGATCCGTGCTGTGCGAGGTCGGTGACGGACACGTCCGAGCACCTGGCGCAGGCGAGACCCAGGGCTCCCTGCAGGAGTGGGCAGGGCGCGAGCCGGGGCCCCGACTCACCTTGGTGAGGGGCAGCTGGGTGGGCAGGGTGACGCCCTCCTTAGCCAGCAGCTTCTTCTCGTCCTCCGTCAGCACGAGCTCCTGGCAGCACCCGGGCCCGGGGCGCAGCGGGTGGGGGGCCGCGGGGTGGTGCTGCTGTGGGAAAAGCAGGCGTTGCATGGGGGCAGGAGGGCCGGCGGCCCCTGGGAAATGAAAGCGCGCCAGATCTGAGACGCCGTCCGTCCACCCGCTGGAGGACAGTACCCGGCACACGCTCCTTAGACCCCGCCGTTCTGCGTCCGGGGTTGGAGCCTCCTGATACCCTCACACCTGTGCAAAACGGTTCTGCACGAGGCTTCTCGCCCCGCCCACAGTCACTCGACGGCTCTTTCCTGAGCACCTGCTACCTGCCAGGTACGGTTCTAGGCTCCGGGCATTCACTGTAGGACTGTCCGCAATAACAAAGGATCAGAACCCATAGAGACACCCACAAATAAGCCATGGCCCTGCCATCGATGGCGACGGAGTACTACACAGCCCTGAAAAAGGAAATGGCCCTCCCCTGCTCCCTTTTACTTTTGACTGCTGCTGCGGTGGACTGTCCAGCCCAGGAGGTGTAGACCCTGGATTTTCTCTACAACAGCCTTCATCTGTGACTGTTTTCTAAGATGGGACACTGGGCTCCCTGAGCTGCAGCCGCCCTCCCAGCTCCGACGGCCTGGGCGTGGGGGTGCTCACCAGGTCCCCGCTGCTGCTGGAAAGGAGAAGCTCTTTCACCGTGAGGTTGCAGCGCGGTGGCAGGTCGGAGGCCTGGGCCTGCTCTTCCACGTACAGGACTTCTGGGCCCCACATTTCTGACCAGGGTGGGGGGGACAGAGACAGGGAGGGCATCAGGCAGGGACCCTAAACTCCCAGCCTCTTCCTGCCTCCTCCAGCAAGCCTTCATGATTGACCCCAATGTGCTCAGAATTTTTATTTTTTAATTGCAAGAGGGTGTGTGCGCTCGGAGAGAGACAGACAGAAAGAGGGACAAAGCAGGCCTCGAAGAGCGGGTCGTGGTCACGCCACAGTCCCTTCTCCACCCCTCATCCACTCAGGATTTGGAGCGCACACACACACACACACACACATGCACTTGGTGTGATTTCAAGCTGCCGGGGCCAGGACTTGAACCCATGGTCGGCCGTGTAGGGTCTGGCTCCCTTAACCACCAGGCCATGGACATGGCCCTAGCATTGTTTTCAAAGCTGGAGGGTACGTGTGCATGAAGGCGAGAGGGAGGGAGGGAGTTTAGGGCCAGCCTGTGGCTTAGAGAGCTGGTCCCACACGGCCTGCTATGTGTTCGAGTCCCAGACCTGGCAGCTTGAGAAACGCACCAGGTGCCCACGGGGCATGGCCGCACTGCACTCCTTCCTCCGCCCACCCCACCCTCCCATCCTGACCACATCTGCAGGGCTGGTTTGCTTTTCAAACCCAAGGGGCCGAGCCTTGAGCCTGGCCAGCGTGTGGATCTCAGCCTCCTCTGCTCAGCACCAGAACGCTGGGCTACGGGCCGGCCTGAGCTGCACCTTCTGGCAGCACTTGGCGTCTCAGGCCTGTGCTGACGGTGCCTCAGTCTCCCCCCGCGTAAGGCGGGAGCTGAAATCCATCAGGGCAGGTCCAGGCGGCCAGGTGAGGTCTGCAGCCAGGGGGTCTCATCTCCTCTGCAGGGCAGGGGCCAGGTGACTCCCCTCCTGACACCAGCACACAGTAGGCCCACTCCTCCAGAGCACAAACGACAGTCAGCAAGCCCTCGACTCTGATGCTGGTTGGAAAGAGCTGTGCGACCTCGGGGTAGTGACTCCGCCTCTCTGAGCTTCAGTGGGAGCCACGAGCTCACGGCTATGCGAGGAACAAAGGACAACCCGAGGCCCACGCCTGTGGCCGGGCACCCGGCGTGCCCCGCGCTCTATCGATCGGGGTTCCTGGAGTAAATCATTATTGATCTGTCCGGGCGTCTTCTGATAAGGCCCGTCCCACAGTCCGGGAGGCACCCTGAGGCACGGGACCCCGTAACCTCATGCGCTTTTTTTTAAATTTGCTATAGGGTACACGTGACCATCAGAGAGAGGGGGTGTGGCGAGTGAGAGAGCACCCCCGGGGGGATGGCCACGCTGCAATCCCTTCTCCTCTGTTCTCCTCCTGGGATTTTGGACACATGCACACACACATCTAGCATGTTTTCAAACTGCCAGGTCCGGGACTCGAACCCTGTGGTCGGCCACGTGGGATCCAGTGCCTTAGCCTCTATGCTGTGCGCTATCCCCACCTCCTGCGATTTTACACCAGTCTGCTGTGAGCCAGGCACAGCAGACCAGAATGCCAACCCCCTGCCCTGTGGTGTTCGCCGGGCCTGCATGCGGCCTGCCAGGACCCAGCGACACTGTCTGGACCGTGGGCCTGCGATGGCCTCCCCGGTCCCCCACCCTGCCCCATCCGGCTTCCAGAACAGGCGAGGGGCCGACAGGGCGTGGCAGGACTTACCCAGGTCTATGGCCACAGAGGCCTCAAGCAGCTGGCTCCCGGGCCCCAGGGGCCTGGAGGGACAGGGGGGCCCAGGCCCGTAGGAAGGACAAGGCACCTTGCCAGGCTCTGCCGGAGGGCAGCCGGCCAGGGTGGCACCTGGGCCGCTGTGTGGAGGGGTGTCCTGGGGGTCGGAAGGCAGGTCTTCTGAAATGCCGCTGTCACTGGCCGCTGGGGACCAGAGAGGGGAGCTGGGCACTGAGTCCCCTGAGCCCAGGATGGAGCTGAGGAAGTCATCAGGATCTGGGCCTGGGAGCACCTGTTGGCATGGGGGGAATATTAGGGAGTGTGTGACCCTGGGCAAACCGCTAGCCCTCTCTGAACCTCAAATGCAGTAACAGAGCAGGGCAATGCCCCGCCAGCATGGCATGGCCCTGACTTCAAATCTGGATCCAAGGCCACATTGCTGTCTGACCCAGGCGGAGAACCGCCCCTCTCGGGGCCTCCACTTCTCTCCTGGAAGGAGCCGGTGTTGCCTACTTAGCTAGAACTGGCCACCATGCCCTGTACGGCTGCATGGGAAGGGATCTTGGGGAAGCTCACAGAAGTGTCACTAGGAGACAGCTGTGTGTGGGTTTCCAAGGCATTTGCAGCTCGCTAAACTCGTACTAGAACTGCATCTTTGCGTACAGTTTCCCGGCCCTGGAGCAGTTGAGCAGGGTGGGCTCCAGGGCCTCCCGGCCGCCACCCCGGCTCTGGCGGCCTCACCTGGTCCTCGCCGCAGGCCCAGCGCTCGCCCAGCTCCACGTGCCTCAGGACGCCGTCCTGGCGGTCGAACAGCAGGTCCAGGAGCTCCAGGCTGTCCATGGGGTCCGTGGGGCCCGTGGGGCCGGCGGAGGAAGCCATCTGGGCGAGGGGGGACAGGCCGAGGGTCCCATTCCCGCCCACTGCTTGGGCCCCTGCGCCTCCCAGTTCAAGTCCAGTCCCACCTAGCCCCGGTGGTCAGCCGTCCAGCCGCCCGCATGCCCCGGTCTGCGCACGGACCTCCCCACAACGCTACAGACAGAAGGCACGGACTTCTAGTGCCTTCCAGGTTCCGGGAGGCAGGGGACCTGGGACAGGTGAGGCCAGCCCGGACAGAGGCGGCTTGCTCGGGCGTGCTCCGTGCGTCCTCAGTCTTCCCATCTGTGCAGTGGGGTAGGGCTTGCCCTCGGGCCAGGCAGCGAGGGCCGGGGCTCCGGCATCTGCTTCCCCCTGGACCCCAGGGGCCTCACCTGGCCAGCTGCTAAGTCCCCATTCATGGGCCCGACCGCTCTGCCCCCGGACACCTCCCAGTGCGCGCTCCGAGCTGGCAGCCCCGACCCGCTCCTCGGCGAAGCTCTGCCACCACCCCCAAAAGATGCTGAAATAGTCCCCCGCGCTCGCAGCCTGCCCCCGCGCGCTGATTGGCCGACAGGCCAAGAAGGACAGGGCTGAGGGCCAATGGCAGGGCCCGGGGCGGCGGGGGCGGGAAGACCATTATCTCCGTGTTTTGTGCTTTTCCAGGCCTCGGCGGGCAAAGGCCAAAGTCTGGGCGTCTCGCTCTGCCGTGACCTCTCCCCTACTTCAGGGACAGGCCGACGCTGGGTTCCAGGATGGCCAGGGCCCCCGCTGGTGACTGTCCCCTCCCGAGCTGCAGCCCAGACTTGGCCTAAGCTGGGCCCGCCCCCCAGGAGCGCCCTGGGTTCCCCGCCCAGCCCACCCACCCGGACCCCCTTCCTGAACCCTCTCCCGGGTATCTGGGAACTGCCCCCGGGCCTTTGCACGGGCTGTCCCCGCTGCCCGGAACGTCCCTCCCCTTCCCCTCCGGGTCTCTGTCCCTCTGTCGACAGATTCCGAGGGTCGATATTTGTGAATCAGCCCAGCTGGCTGGAGGCCGCCTCCGCCCGGCAGAGGAACCTACCCTCCCTCCGTGCTCTTCCTTTTCTGACTTTTTCTTTCCTCTCTCTCTCTCTTTTATTAGAATTATGCATTTAGCTTTATTTAACACTTTTTAAAAATTTGCTACAGGGCATGTGTGCTCACCTGAGAGAGAGCGAAAGAAAGAGAGAAAGTGAGAAATTGGAAGAGCAAGCTGCCAGGTCCAGGACTCAAACCGCGGTGGGCCATGTGGGAGTCCAGCCCTTCAACCACCACGCCACCTGCTGGCCCCAGAGAGTATCTTTTTAAGTGTTGTATTCGTTTATTAAGACTTTATTTACCGTCTATGTATTTATTGATTGGTTACTGGCCTTCAGGTCCGACTGGGAACCCTGGTTGGCCACGTGGGAGTGCAGTCCCTTAACCAGCACGCCACCTGCCGGCCGAGCAGAGGTTCACTGTGGCCCTGAACGTCAGCCCCAGCCATCCGGCGACTTGGTGGGGCGGTGGCTCCCGCCTGTCCCTGTCCCAGCAACCTGAGCACGGGCACAATCGCGGTGGCGGCTGATGGGCAGGCGCGGGGCTGGGACACATGGCAGCCAGAGCCCTATGGAGCGAGAGAGTGGAGCAGGGCAGGCTGCCTCAGACTGGAACCCTACAGAGGCCCCTGGGCAGCACCTGCCTAGCCTGGTGGAGAGAGCGCAAGGAGAGGAGCAGGGCGAGGTGGGGCCGGCCAGGCTGTGCAAGCCCTGTGGGCTGCAGGGAGGAGTCTGTGCACCTGCAGGGCCAGGGCACCCCCCTCTACTACGAAGAGTGACCTGGCCTGCGTCAGCAGTGTGGGGGAGCCCCATATCAATTATTTGGAGAATAAATTTGCTCTCTGCTCAAGGAGACCCCACCATCAACTCCTGATGGACATCGTGAACCAGGGGACCCCAACTTCTGGGGCTCCCCATTCTCCCTCCCACTCGGTGTGGATCTGCGTGAAGCCTCCTGGGACCTCAGGGAGCAAAGCTGTAGGAAACAGGGTCTCTTGGGTCCGTGGATTCCCCTATCCTAGGGGTCTTGCTGAGACCTTCTGCCCCAGGGGACACTGGGTCACATCCAGGGACGTCTGTGGTCGACATGACTGGGGGTGCCCCTGGCAGGATTGGGAGGAGCCGGGGACACTGCCCAGCCCCTGCAGGGCCCAGGTCGCCGGCAGCCGAGCTGTCCCAGCGTCCACGGAGCAGGGGACGGGACCCCGAGTCACGGCGGACGTCCCCCCAGGCACTGACTCAGCCATCTGTCCCTCGGCCTCTGGGTGTCCCGGTCCCTTCCCACCACTCTGCTGGGTTTGCTTTGGCCTGGGTCTGCCACCCCAGTCATAATGCTTACTCAGCCTCGCGGGCCGCGCTTTTCCAGGCCGCACGGAGAGACGTGGTGACACTTGGTTTCTGGACTCTTCCCGGCCCTCCTCACCCCTGTGTGTGACTTGGGAGGTGTAGACCTCCTAACCTGCATCCTTTGAAACTAACCCCGATGGGGCTGGCCCTATAGCCTAGTGCGTAAGACAGCTGAAGCCCCATAACCAACCGCAGGGTTCAAGTCCTGCACCAGGGAGTTGGAAAATATGTTGGTGTTTGTGCGTGTGTGCGCGCGTGTGTGTGTGTGTGTGTGTGTGTGTGTGTGCATGCCCAGCACCCTGAGAGGAGAATGGAGCAGAGGGATTGTGGCATGGCCAGCCCTTCCAGGAGGTGATGTCTCACTTTCCCCCTCTCTGTCTCTAGTGAGCACACATGGCCTATGGAAAAAATGTTTTAGGGACTAGCGGGTGGTGTGGTGGCTAAGGTGCTGGACACTCCCACATGGCCACCACAGTTCAAGTCCCGGACCTGGTGGCTTGCTTTCTCAGTTTCTCTCTCTCTCTCTCTCTGTCTTTCTCTGCTCAAATTAAGAACAAATGAATAAATAAATTTAATTAAATTAAAAAGTAATTATTTAAAAAAAGTTCTAAGAATTATTTTATTTGGAGCCTGCAGTTGGCATAATGGCTATGTCACTGGACTGCCATGTAGTCGACCGTGGTGACTTAAACTCACGCTGGGCGTGTGTGCGTGCGTGCCCAAGATCCCGAGAGGAGAATGGAGGAGAAGGGATTGCGGCGTGACCATCCCCCCTG